GAGAAAAAAAAAAGATGGATAAGATATGAAAAATTGAAGTATATATCATGAATATTACATTAATTAAACTACATGGTTTAAGTATAATAAAACCTATGCAATAGAAGACATGAAGCAAAGAAATTAACAACAAAAATAAACAATAGTACTCTCATAAACAATGTGATTGTAGGAAAGTCGTGAACCTTGCGTGTTTAGAGTGCTCGGGCTTTTACAATGTCTAGGATCATTTGGCTAGGATTGATTGCCTCCCACTTGCTATTTTACCCCTTAATAAAAAAATTGCTGTTTTACTCCCTTAATCACCATCCAACCTATAGTGTGTTTAAGTTGAAAGGAACGGAGGGAATAGGAAAAAAAGAGAAAGTTTTTCAATCAATCAAATTATAACATTTTTAAAACATTATAATTTCACTCCCCTCTCCTCAACCCAAATATATAGTTAAACATTCCATTAACAACATTTTTGTCATCTTCAATATTGATGAAAAATACTCAATGTGTTCTAATTTATTAGTATCTAATTGATCACATGGTGATGATTTCTTTTTTTAGTGCATAAGATGATTGATTATGTGAGAGTCGATAGCACTAGCTTACTTTTCCCAAATTCCCTACTTAATTCAAAATTCGAATTAAAATTTCAAATTATTAACCAATTGAGTCATAAAAATAACAATTAGTTGGTGACATTTAGGGACATAATTAGTTCATTCCTTTTTTTTTCGGAAAATTGGCAATTTTTTTAATCTAAAATTAAAATCTTTTTTTTTTTGAATGATATTTTATGATCTATTTAGTATCTTTATAGAAAATTTTTTATTTTGGAAACTAAAAACAGTAGTTTTGGTTAGTTGCATGTCACGCCCCAAACCGAGAGCGAAACAGACGCCGTGCACTCGTGAGCGGGGCCCACAAATGCACAAGGCTCGAGACCTACTAAGTTCTTACTTAGCAATTCAGATTTAAGCCTTTTTATTTACCAAATAGTTACCAGTCGAATGTACAAAATTTATCACTTCATATATACAATCATGACTAGCACTAAATTCTGTACACAAAATTTTCTATGTCAAGCATGGGTGACTAACGGCTTAGCTACAAAAATACCTAAGTCCAAAAGTGCCTAGCCGTCTAGCTCGTCATTCCCCCGGGCTTCCCACACGTCGGGTCCCACTTCCTGAAATGGTGGACAAGGAAACCGTGAGATAGAAATATCTCAGTAAGTAAACATGGGGGCCCGACATCAAAGTTTAAAGCATGCCAAATAATCGGTTGAAACATGAACAGAGCGTTTCAATAACAAATCATTAATGCA